GTCGGCCGGACAACCCCATACCACAATACAAAATTTGACAGGCGTATAAAAACCGAACAAAGTCTTTTAGCAATCCATATCTATCCAACTACAATTTAAAAAATTAACAAAGGGCAATAACTCTGTATAAAGTAGGGAGGACAAACTGATTTTGTCACACAAAACTAAACAATCCCCAAAGAAAAGCTGTATCACAATTTCAGTATGAAACACTCTCCCATCCAAGACATACTAACATACAAAATTTGGCTACTGCAGGTGAAGAGTATGCAAGATGTGCCCCAGTCAAAGTGACTACCAGTTTGCAAAGGGCCTTGCTCTGTATAAAATGAGGTTGTGTCATAACTTAAGTATGCAACACTCTGCCATCCCTAGACATACTAACATACAAAAATTGGCTATTGCAAGTCAAGAGTATGTGAGGTATGCCCCAGACGAAGTGATACTTAGTTAACATATGACTCTATTTAAAACAAGGCTTTATCACAATTTCAGTTTGCAACACTCTGCTATCTTAAGACATACTGAAATACAAAATTTGGTAATTGTAGCCAATAGAATATTTGAGAAATTCTCAAGATGCACTGACAGACTGACTAACAGTACAGACTTGTTTTCCCGTTTCTAAGTACATACTGCTAAAAACATGATGTGCAAGTCAAATTCAAGACCTGTCTTTGAATCTGAATTGTCTATCAGCAGTAGAACTGTTTATCTGATCCTGGGCCTAGCTTGTCCGATCTCTCAACAAGTGGACAAAATTCAATTTATGTAAAACATTTTCAAATATAGTAAGAACACCAAAACTGCATGTCTAGAATCACCATCGGAAGATCTATATTCTAGAAAGACCACCAAACAATTTGAAAACCTTTGTGCAACTGGGCCTGTCAGATGCGTTAGGTAGCTAAGAACCACATCTCACACCTACCTGTTGGGATGTTGCCTGGAGATCTCGGTTCACCAGGTTGATGCTGTCCTTCTCCTCCGTCACGGTAGACAATTGGACAGAAAGTTCCGACATCTCAGTCTTCAGGCCTTCCATCGCAGCCCTGGTCTCCTGTAGCTCTTTCTCCACAGTCACTGAGAACACAAACAATGATTATGACAAGGTTTCACCTGAACTGCAGTAAGTTAGGTAGGCTCATCCCTAACTCTGTAATGGGGAAGCCTGGGGAAAGGAAAGGCATATTTTCTCTGGTTAACTCTTGTCTCTGTTATAAAAGCCCGGAAGCAGCTGGACGGTCATAAAACAATGCTTTCAATACTAGACACAGTACTTAAAAACATATTGGAATTATAGGAAGGCTCTTATCAAACAATGCAAAATACTGGTTTATGTGCCGATTTGTGTACATAGGATATACAATACAAACATGAACTTATTCTTATTCTCATTGATCTGATCTCTTAAAAATGATTTTAATTTCAATTGTATTTTTATTTATATCAGATAATCAGATGAATTAGAACACTGCCAGGTCAGCAGTGTTCCTGCCATGTGCCTGATGACCCCCATCCCCAGTCTATTATTAGTAACAGTTACCTTGACTTTGACCTTGACCTTGACTTTAAATACTTTTAAACCTGTATTGCACATGGTGATACTTCACAGTGTATCACGATATCAAATTTCAAAAAGATTAGACTTTTAAATTTCGAGATTAGGACTGTACCTCCCTAGTCTATTTTTAGTAACAGTGACCTTGACCTGGACCTTGGAAATCTTTTTAAAGCCTACTGCACATCTAAATTTCACTGTGTATCACTATGTCAAATTTCAGAAAGATTTGTCTCTTGGTTTCCAAGATAATCCCCCGAAACTAAATTGTTAAAAGCACTTTCACATTTACCCTTTGAGGCTTTTACAATGATACAAACCAATAGTGAAAGTTTGGTCCCAATCATTAACCATTTACCCTGTCTACACAATTTCCCATTTGTGATCCTTCATAGTTTTAACCGTGAAAATGTCTTTTCATGATAGAGTCCATTAAGCATAAAATATTGGTCACACATTTGTTTGCAAGTAATATTCATCGAGTTTGTATCAACTCATCATGACCTGTCTTTTTTCTCTAACTTCTCATCAAAATCTAGTATCAAACATTTCACCCTTTTCCTTCCGTTTCATCAGGGTGAATTCATCCTGAGAGTAAAATTAGTACATAGCATACAATACATAGTAAGTATATATAAAGGGCAGAATTAGCACTGGGCCAATACAGATTTTCACAGTGAAGGGCAAATATTTTACTTCACGAAAGTTTCCGCATATACAGCTGTCCATAAGTTTTAGCAACACAACATTTTTCTCACCTTTTTCATCCTCAAGTTCTGCTATCTTCTTCTTCAGGGCATCCAACTCTGGGGACACATTACCACCCTGGAAAATACACAATTAAAAATTTACATTTTCTAAAACATTTTTTCTGAAAGATAATACAGAGAATGGTAAAGATATAAATTTTACGAAAATGATAATTTGGCATGATCAGCTATATATATCAATAAATTGAATTATACAAAATGTTACTGGATTTTGAGAAAATGATTTTTCTATATTGTCTCTCCAAGTACTGCTTTCAACTCAAATTGAGATATGGTATCGATGGCTCCATACATTGGATCGTCCATCGTGATTTTTGAATCACATTATAAAGAAAGCATTGCTTATTAATGAATAAACCAGTCTATAATGATTATGTGAAGAAGAATAGAAATTTTCAACCCGAGGGTAAGATGTCGAGTGTTTGAGCCGAGACTTCTGCTAGGTTTAAACAGTTCAAACCTTAATCTTAGGGTTGAGATTTTCCTGTCTGCATCATAGAGATAATTGGCTATCTTTTTCCTTCACTAAAATTTTATACATTAATAAGAAAGCAGCCATGTCAAAATACTGCTACCGAATTTACGTGTGCAACACAAAATTTATCATTATTTTGATATGGAAATGCAGCATAAAGTTATGATACTTGGTGTCAGATGCAAGCTGTTGTGGAGTGACCATGTTTTAAGACTTTGTGAACTGTTTTTCCCTTCCACTGGAACTTAAATTTGTTTTCCCTTCATTAAATGGGCAAGAACCTGTAATATGTGGGAGCAAAAATTGGTTCCTGTTTAACAAACCTTTTTGAGCTGTGCTATCTCCTTTTCTAGAGCCTTCACCTTTGCAGTTAGCTTGGCCTTATCCTTGAGACCCTTGGCGTCCGTCTTAGCTCCAGCGCCCTCTGCTGACTTCCTGGTCTCCTTCAGCTCTGCCTCCTTTTCAGCTAGTTCCTTCTCTCTCTCTGCTAACAGACCTTTTGTCTCTTCAAGCAGAGACTGTGATAAGGCCAAGTGGGATAATTCTTTTTCCTTCTCCGACAAACTCTGTCTCAGTTCCTTCACAAGTGCTGCATTTGATTCTGCGGCAGGATCCACAAGTGGTTCCATAGGTGGCATGGCAGACTGTGATACAGCGCCACCTGGCCTTACGGAATGCTGGTAGCGGTTCTGAAGTGCATTGTATTGAGACACTGCCTGTGCGTAGGCGTTCTGATACTGAGACAAATGACTTTGTACTGTCTGTATATTCATTTCCTTTTCTGTCTTCTCCATCTCTTGTTTCTCCAGTAAGTCCCTGAATTTTTCATCCATTTTCCTCTTTTCGTCCCGCCACTGAACCTCCATATCCAAGTTTTCCGCTTGCGCTAACATTAATTGTTCTGAAGTCACTTGTAATTTTTCCTTGAAACTTTTCTGGATATCATAACTCTCAGCGATATGTTTGTCCTTTTCACTAATTTCTTGCTGCAGTGTTTCTATGACCTTGATTTTTCCATCAAGGACCGAGTTCGTATCTTTTAACTTCTGTTCCAGCATTTGAAGCACATGGTCATGAATGTTCACCTCATCCCTAGCCATAATTCGTTGAACATCTTTCTCATGTCTCGATATCAATTCCCTGAGATCATTTTCCCTGATGAGAATGTCCTCGTCCTTCTTCGATGCTTCTGTTCTTAATTTCTTTATCTCTGCTTCCCTCTCTTGGACAGTTTCCTCAAAATATTTGTGCGACTCCTGCAAACGAAGATTGAACTTGTCCGACTCCTGCTTTAAGTTGTGATCGGCTTTGCTGACCTGCTCCTTGTAATGGGAAAGGGTCTCCTCACTGTCCTCAACTTTAGCAGACAGTTTAGCGATCAGCAGAGCCTGCCCTGTGGCACGTTGCTCTGTTTCTTCAATAGTGGTCTGAAGGATCTGCAAACATGTAACAATGAAAACTCAATGCAAGAATTTTTTTTACTTTAGAAATAATCACAAGCAAATTTGTAGAATTTATATCCGCCACATTCAGGACAATTTTGTAGCTGTTGTCTCTTGTTGAACCTTGGTGTAGACAAACTTAAAGTAGGGCTTCTAAATTTGTTCTAGAATATGAATATGGATACCATTATGGGTACGTGTATTCTGAATTTGGTTGAAGTTTGACCATTTTAGCCCCAGCTATTGAACAGAAACGTAAGTGACAGAGTCAAGACAAATTGATGGACAGACATATGGCAGTGATCAGTTCTACATTTAGTTTGTATGGGTCTTTTTCCACTGTATGGTTAAAACATATGGGTCCCACCATGTTAAATTTCAGTATTTTCAAATATTCTATGGGTCGAATCAAAATTCTATTGGTACAGGACCCAGGACTCGCATGTAAATTTACCACTGTAGATGTACACACTCAAATCAATATTTCCAATTTTCTTTGTAATGTAGGGGATGAAAATTATGATATTCTAGGACCATCATATAAAAATATTCAGAGTTGTAAGTAGAACTCGGGTAAGTCCAAGAAAATGTATATAATTTGATGGAAATCAAATATTCATAAACAATGGCACTTTCCTTCAAAACAGCTGTAATAACTCTTCCGTTTCAAGAAATATTAAAAATTTGACTCAAGAAGACAACACCTCAAATATAACATATCCCAGATGAAACTTGTATATTCTTATATTAATTCCCAACCTGCAATTATATATATAGAGATACATATATGTGACGGGTAATATTTGAATACTACATTATTTTTTTATTAAAAATAATTACTATGCTTTTAACTGAAAACAATTACAAAGAGTTGTCATCACTATGCATACCTTGATAACCTTATCCCTGCCCCGGATGACCTCATCCTTTTCCGACACAAATTCCTGGATATCCATCGTCTTCTGTTCTTGCTCCAAAATCTTGTTGTTGAGGTCAAGGATTTTCCTGTCCTTGTAAACAATCTGAGCGTACATCTGCTGGGACTGGTTATACAATACAGATGGAGGAAAAATAAGTCACAGGTTCTGGTTTTATAATAATCAGATATAGGTTAAAAATTTCTCAAGGGGACATAGCGGGTAACTCCCACAAAAACAGCAAGATTGAAAATGTAAGTGGCACAGGTGTACACTGCCAACTTTCCAGAGTGTGGTGGCTACTTCAGTGGGGTGTCAAGAAATTCAGATGAAAAGTTTTGGAGTTTTCTGGACAAGATTCTGACCAACAGACAATCGGACATTTTGAGAGTTTGACTTTGATAGTTTTTAATATAATTTTCTTTTGGTTTTGTTTCGTTAGTGCTTTATGTCCTATTACCTGGTAAGAGCGAAAACCTTTATGAAACAGTCATGATATATGGATTGCAATAATGAGTCATTATGACTTACAAAATAGTAAATTTCAGAATACAACAATCAAAATTAGAAAAAAAAACATTCTTTTCCTATTGTAAACTTTCAACACTGTTTATTTATAACTTGTCCATACCTCCGAGCTAGACCCATCTTCCGAAGTTGTTGCCTGGCCAGCCAACTTGGAGCTTTCCTCCAGTTGTTCTGTCAGACTCTGTAACATCTGCTCCCGTTCGTGTATGAAGTGGACCTTCGACTCCAGCTGTTGATCTCGAAATGTTATGATCTCCTCCTTCTCAGCGATAGTCTTCTCATGTTCCTCCAGTCTCTTTGTCATCATCAACATCTTGGCTCTAAGGACCTTTTCACTTGAATCTGATTCAGACTTTCCATCACCATCCTGGAAAGAAAGAAAAAAATAACTACAGTGTGTAAAAGCCATTGAGATTGAATATATCTGCAGCACATAAACTCTATTATAGAAACTCTACCACTAGCACATCCAAACCCAGTGTTATAACTGTATGGTAGATCCATAGACCATCACCATAAAAAAACACTAAAGGTCTATGGGAATCATTGACTTCAGAGACAAAATCGACTGGCGTTATTTCCTATGATGCATTTGACTGTAATGAAGAAAAATTGTTCTGTAAAATTTCTTCTTTTTTATTATAACACATGGTTTCTTAATTTCATGATATCAAGCACTATATACCTGTACACGTTTCTCAGTCAAGGTGTACATGTGGTCTATGAAAACTTTGGTAGGTCTATAAGAAATCTATATTATGTAGCCATGCATTGTCTATGATGTGTACATTCTAAATTTCAATATATTCAAAACCTGTTTCAATTTGTAGCCAATAAGAGGTTTTAAATAAAAGTCTTGCTAAAACAGCTACAAGAAAAGAAGGTAACATATCCTATCCAAGTCTGTAGTATTCAGATTT